GGCCCTGAGTGGTGCCGTGTTTGCTGGCACACCCATGCACATGCATGCACTGTCTCATGCGCAGGGCATGTGCACATGCATGTGCAGCTGGTGCAGGTACAGACAGGCATGCGTGTGCATGGCGCTCACTCCCTGCCTGGCTGGCTGTGTGCTGGCCTGGCCCCGTGCCAGGCAGAGATAACAGCCGTGCCCTCCACGCCGACCCTGTCAGCAGTAATTGGCCGACACAGGCTGCTGAGAAGGCTCCCCCGGCACCGCCACAGGCGGGCATTCACGCCGGGGCTGGAGCACAGCCGGCAGCGGGGGCGGGGGCACCACCAGGGAGGGAGGGAAGGAGGCAGAAGCTGTCCCCGCCCTGGACCTGCACCCCCAGGGCCTGGGAGGGCAACGGGGTGCAGTGGCTGAAGGAGGGGGCTGGGAACCAGGCCTCCCTGGTTGCTGGGGCCTCTGCCTCAAGTGTGGAGCTGGGGCCACCAGGTCAGGGGCTGCAGCCCAGTCCGGGGGCTCTGTCCAGGGCCGAGGCCGCTCCCAGTCTGCTGCTACAGCAGTATCAACCTCGGGGGCTCTGGCCTGCATTAGCATGTGCACATGTGTGTCAGTGCATGTCCGTGCTGCACGCAGGCGCACATGCGTGTCTCCGGCCCTCATTGCTATGGCAGGCGCAGCTCGGCGTGTGCGGCTGGGATAACAAGCTGGCGCGGCCAGCTCTCACGAAGCCCCTGCTGAGCGCTCTGCGCAGTGATGACCTTGACCACACTCCGCGGCAGGTGGCAGGCAGCATCCGAAGCAGCAGCCCCTCTGAGCCGGCCACAGCACTGCGCAGGGCTGGGGCAGCAGAGCTGTCCACAGAGAGCCCCTAGCCCTGTCTGGGGCAATGGGCTCAGGAGCCTGGCATGCACCCAGGGCAGGACTCTGCCTGGCCCCAGGCCGGAGCCAGTGCTGGTGCAAAGCTCCACAGTGCCCTCCGGGGGTGCCTGGCGGCAGGGGTCAAGGTCACAGCCAACGGGGCTGGTGCAGGGCACAGAGACACTGGGCACAAGGGGGACGGGAACTGCCAGGGTCCCAGGGCAGCTGGCTTGTCAGAGGCTCAGCGCTGTGGGCAGGGCGCCATGTGGACAGGCACAGCAAGGCCCCGGGGTGTAGGGCACGTGACCTCTGTGGGGGGCTGCCCTTGCCCCCGCCTCTCCTGGGTGTGGGACGCAAAAGCTCATCCGTTCCCCTTGGTGGGCGACGGAGCTGGAGGCCCCGTTTCCATAGTGACACGGAGCCATTTCCCCATCACCGTGCGGATGCGGATGCTCTCGGCGCGGCTCAGCCTCCCCCGCCCAGCGCTAGCAGGGGGGGCAGGGCCTGCGAGCTTGCGGGGGGGGCCCGGGGGGTTGGGGGGGGGGGGGGGTACTTCCTAGGCTGCTGTGGTCCCAGAGCCACCCCACCATGGGCAGAGTCCCTGTGTGCAGGGTTGGGGTGCAAGGCTGTGCTGTGCCTGCTGCAGCCTCCGTTCCCCAGTGCTGAAGGGGCAGGGGTGAGGGACCCAGTCTAACTATCCTACACCTGTCCAGTAGCAAGGCCAGGCAGTGCCGCCTGCAGCCGTGTGGGTGCCAGCTCCCAGAGGGCCCTGACGAGCGGTACCAGCACAGGCCCCTGGCAAAGAGCTGTGTCCTGGCCCCACCACGAAGGGGCTTGGGGCCAAGGCAGAGCAGAGCACCTGCTGCAGCCGGGCCACGCCTCAGGGAGGGAAGGGGGGCTGCCGCCAAGCCATGACAGGATGGCAGGGTGGGACCCCAGGGTCCCTTGGCTGCTCACGGGCTGCAGCCCCTGCAGCCGGATCCATGTGAGCTGGTGTGAAAACCCCCGCGGTCCCTCCCCATGCAATTAGCTGTCCCATGGTGCTAGCTCACAGAGCCAAGCAGCGGGCCAAGGCTGACGTCACTGCATTGGGGGAGGCATGCTGAGCTCTTGTCCTTGCCCATGGGGAGGTCTTGGCATCAGGGGCTCGCCTGGCACATGCCCCCTTACCAGGCCTCCCCCCATGCTAGCCACAGCCCCTGCTGCTGGGGGAGAATTAGCAGCAGGTGCAAAGCGCTTCCTGATGTTGCTGTGGCCAAATTGTAGCCTCACATGAAAGCAAAGTGGTCCCACACCCCCCACTCTCTGCCAGGCCCTGCCCTCTCCCGCCCCTGAGAGCCAGCACAGCTGCAGCTGCAGGGGAAAAGCCAGCCGTGCTTGCAGCAAACCAGGGAGCCCAGCCAGGGGCTGCAGGATGTTGGGGCCAGGAAGGACAGGGGAAGCTCCCCTGGGCCCCGAGGCATGCTCAGCCCTGCAGACATTGGCCTGGTGCTGCCTGCCCCTGCCCTGTGCCCCTCACCAGGGGCAGACGTGGAGGTGAGACACAGGCAGGAATAAATCAAGGTGAGATGCAGGCAGGAATCAGCCCAAGGAGAACCCAGGCACACATGGCCCCCAAGCTGCCTGGCACCACAGGCACACACAGGTGTGCACATGCCCCAATCCTTTGTACACACAGGAGTGCTTACATCATGCAAGTGTGCACACACCTTGATATGTACAGACAGGAAACATGCATGTGCATGCAAAGGCACACACATGCCCACACACACACACAACTACACATGTGGGTCCACAGCACACGTGTCCCTCCCATCGCTGGAATGCAACGGGCTGCTGCTGCTATGCGGGGCCTGGCTGACTCAGCACCGTTGCAGCCAGCACTTGGCAAGGCAGCAATGCCCTGGATAGGTCAGTACTGTGCAGCCGGTGGAGGGGGAGGGAGGGGCAGGGGGCAGTGACAACAGAGCTTGGCTCCAGGCAGCCCCCTGCACAGCATGACCCCGAGGGACCCTGCAAACAGAGTATGGGGGGGAGGGTGGGCAGCTCCCAGCACCCCTGATTGTGCAGTAGTCTGGCAGCGACCTCTTCTGTCACACCCACACCCTGCCTGGGCTGTCTGCAGCCACAAACAGGACCAGCTGCTCCGCTCCTCCATCCCTGCACATGGGAACAGAGCCTACCACGGCCTTGCCACTCCCTACAACTCAGTGAGGTCCTGCTGCTCCTCCACGCCCAGCTGTGCTGGGGCCTTTTTGCCTTGTCTCATTGCCCCAGGCCATCCCAGGGTCTGCAGGCTCCAGCCCAGGAGCTTCATGCCTAGCCACCCCTGGGAGTGTGCAGCACAGCTCAGCATGCAGGCTCCCCAGACACATGTTGTTGCATGGACCCTAGCAGGCAACAGGATCTGGCCCCCAGAGGCTGAGTGAGCCCGGCATTTTGCCAAGGGTAGCTGGTGAGCCAGGATCAGACCCCCTGCTGCAACCCTCTAGACTCCTCTTCACTTCCAGACCCCAGGAGAGAACCCAGGAGTCCTGGCAGCTGTGCCCTGCCGCCCAGTGGTGTCAAGGGGCTCCAGTCCCCACCAGGACAAGGCCCTGGGCCCCGTCTGGCCAGCTCTGGGCGCAGGGAGGGAGTGAGGACGTGCTCAGGAGAATGGAGCCGACTCCTTTAATAGATGCCAGTGCGGCCGCCACGGGCTGCGGGGCGCGGAGCCATCAATTCGATTCGGGGGATGGGGAATTTGATTTGGAACGACCGCGCCATCAATTAGCGTTTATTGATGCCATTGCTCATCGGCAGGCGGCGGGGCTGACGCCGGTGCTGCTGCAGAATACCAAGCACCCCAGCTCAAGGACACGGGCCACACGGGCTCCATCTTGGGGCTCCATCGCTGTGGCTCGACTGCTTCAGGAGCCTGTGGGCACATCTGCTGCCCTCATGGCACCAGGGCTGTGCCGCTGGGTACCCGGGGGCCACTGCTACCCCCAGCAGCACCACAGCAAGGGCAGAGGATGCTGCCTTATTGCTTATGCCAGGCCCCCTGAGACACGGGATCATGGTGCTGGCCAGCCATGCCTAGAGCTCCTTGCGTGCAGCCCCCACCCTGCCCCAACTGGGAAGGAGCATGGCTTGAAGCATACTGAGGATGCAGGGAGAATCAGGACCATTGCTCTAAACCCCCTAGCCATGGGCGTGTGCCTGGGGGGCCCCTTCGGGCCAGGGGTCCAAGGCAGGCAGTGGGACCCAGCTGGAGGGATGGAGGTGCTGGGGAGTGGGGGAGGGGGGAGCATGATGGCTTTTCCCAGCCTCGTGCTGAGCGGCTGTTCCAGAGCAGCCATAAAACCTGGCTGACGTGACGGCGCCACTGCAGCAGGCAGCTGCGCAAGTGCCAGCAGCGCTGGCGCAGGGGGTACCAGCCCTTGCTCATCTCTGCCAGGTGCCCAGCACACTCGGGGGCCTAGGGCAGGGTCTGGACCCCAGTCACCACCCAGCTCAGGGCAGCCAGGCAAGGCGAGGTAGCGAGCTGGGGCCAGGGTCACGCAGCAGTGGGGCACTTGCACTCCAGCTCAGGACCAGCCTGCCCAGGGCAGCCCAGGCCCCAGCCCTACCCCTCCTGTGCCTGGTGCTGCCAGGGGCTGGGCCTGTATCCACCCTCCCTGGGACTTGCCCATGCCCTGGGGAAGGGCAGCTGCAGAGCAGGCAGGAGCCCAGGGGAGCTCAGGTCGCTGCTGCAGAGCCCAGTTCCTCCCAGGCCCCTGCAGACAAGGTGAAAGGAAAGGGCTGCTGCCTGCACAGGTGACCCCGTGGGCATGGAGGGTGGGGGGGCAGTCAAGGGACTGAGGGGCAGCACGGGATGCCAGCCCTAGGGAAGGGATGTGGGGCTCCTGGTGCAGGGAGCTAGGCAGGGCACTTACTTTGCTCCAGCAAGTGTGGACTGGTCAGGCTGGGACTCAACCCCTTCAGTTTCAGCCTGGGCCCTTGGTGTGGGGCTACAAGCCACATGACCTTACTCTGGTGGGGGACAGAGCCAGATGCTGGGCAATGTGGCAGGGCAGCAAGCACCAGGACTGCTTTGGGGCAGTGTGCTGCTGACATCCCCTGGCCTGCCCAGGCTAACCTGTGTGACGTCCTATGGAGCACCGCCAGGGCCGGGGGCTCCGAGCAGCTGCTTCCGCCCACCAGAGATCCCCCACGGCTTTCCCGGCATGAGGGGAGGCAGAGAGCCAAGCACTACAGTGAAAGGCCCTGGCCCAGGGGTCGGGGAGAGCGGCAGGGCTCCCGCAACCAGCAGCCCAGGTCCGGGCCCCCAGGGCAGCAGAGCAGGGCCAGGTGGGAACTGCCCCAGGTCCTGCAAATGCTTTATTGACATGGATCAGAAACCCCGCGCACACGGCGGAGCAGGTCTTCGCGGAAGACACATGGGCGTCCTCAGCCGAGGACGAGATGCAACAGGCCCGTGCTGGGGGCAGCCTCCAGGCCTTCCAGGAGGCTCGGGAGGGGGGGCCCTGCCCCGCAGGGCACTGCTGCTGGAGTTTCTAGGGCAGCTTGGGGAGCCCCTGCCATGAGGCAGTCCGGTCCAGTCTGGGCAGGGCTTCTGGGGGGCCTGAGGAGGGAGAGACGCTGTCAGAGCTTGGATGTGGCCCAGTCTACCCCCATGGCCCGGAGCTGCTCTGAGGCAGCCTCAGTCCTGCTGCTGTCTCACACTTGGTCTTGAGCCCCAAGCTCCCCCCTCCCAGCCCCTGCGGCACCAGGAACCCTCAGCCGGCTGGCCCCGAGCAGTGACCCCTGCCTGCTGTTCCAGCCCTTGGTTACCCTGAGGCACAGACCGCTCCCCTCACTGTCACACTCCAGCCCTGGGGCCGTCTCTTACGTGCAGGCACCAGTCTCCCAGGCACTGGCAACTCCCCAGGGTGTTGTGGGGTGCAGGCCCGAGGGCCAGTCACAGCAGCCTGCGCACGACTGGCAGAGCAGAGCAGCCAATCCAGGGGGGAGCGTCTTGGGGGGGTCTCAGAGGAACTCTCCCTCTGCTGACAGCAGCAGGCTCAAATCCACAGGAGGGGAAGGAAGGCGAGGCTGAGGCAGGGGCCCTGGCCCCGGAGCCGGGAGGGGGCTGCACGGCTGGGAGCAGGAAGGCCAGGGGCTGCAAGGAACAAGGACAGCAAAGGTCACCAAGCTGCCCCATCGCCCGGACCCCGCTCCTCCCCCCTGTGCATGCCCCCAGCCCCCTCCCTGAACCAGACTTACCCCCTGGCTCCCCTCGCCCCCGTGGCTGCGATCTGGGAACTTCCGTCACGGGCTTTGTGGCTGGAAGAAACCAAACCTCAAACCCATCAGCAGCCTATAGAGCCCTCACCCAGAGACACGCTGGGCATCACTGCAGCCCCCGCCCTGGGAGCCCGATGCCAGAGACACTCCCCCCACTCAGGCTGAGGGACTCACTTGTCACTTTGCAGCACACGAAGACCCGTAGCCGCAGGCACCGCCCGGCACTGTCCGGCGAGGGGATGGCTGGGGGTAGACATGGGGTGTCAGGGCATCCCAGCACCCCCAGCTGCAAGGAGCCCCATGCAGTCTGGGCTCTCAGCCATCTGCCCCAAGGCTCCTGTCTGGCAGCTTGACCGCGGGGGGTGCCAGCAAGAAGTGCCCACTTCCCTCTGGGCATCAAGCATTGGATCACCCCATCGTGCCTTGCCCCCTGGGGACCTCCCCTTGCCAGGGCTCAGCAGCAAGATCCTCCCAGCAGCCCCTAACAGGGGCAGCAGGAGCTGGTGAAGCAGGATCTGGGGTCGGGCCAACTTGGTGGAGGCGTTCCTGCCACCCCAGTGCTGTGGGGCAGGAGCAGGGCACTCACAGATGTAGTAGTAGGTCTCCCCTGGCTGGAATTCGAAGCCCAGTGAGAAGGGCGTGAAGCGCTGGATCTTCTCAGAGAAGCGCACGGGCCCGAAGGGGGCGTGGGGCCGGGCACACTCCCAGCGCTTGAAGGCGCCGGGTGTCTCGTGGCAGCCCCGGTAGCCCTCTAGGTCCACCATGAAGAGAGTGAAGGTCTCGGGCTGGCCCACAGGCAGTGGCTGCTCGTAGTGGGGACAGTAGATGTCCAGGTAGTCATTGATGGCAAGCTGGACGGTGTAGTCGCCCCGCAGGAACCTGTGTGGGACAGGGGTTAGTGGAGGCGGAGCAACCCCACACAAACCCTGTGGTCTTAGCACCCGCTGGACTTCTCCCCAGGTGATGAAGCCATCCCAGGCAGCCATCACCAGGGCAGAGTCCTCTGCATGCCTAGGCTCAGAGCCAGAGCCCCGTGGGTGGGCATGGCAGAGGCTTGAGCCCCACACACAGAGCATTGCATGGACCCCCCCCCAGCCAGCAGCTCTGTCCAGGGCTCCCCACATGCCCCCTGCAGCCCCAGGCCTCACCTGGAGGCTGCCTGCCCAGGGCCGGGGGGACAGCGTGGGATGTGGCTTGTGCCATCTGCAGGAAGGGGCACCAGCCCTCAGGGAGTGCAGGCCACCCCCCCACCTAGAGGGCCGTGGAAATGGGATCCCCAACCCGCCACATGCTTCAGGCCGGAGGTGTTGTAGGGAGCAGGAAGATCCCAGACCTGCCCCCTGCCAACTGTAGCCCCAAGCGCCTGGAGAGGAGCAACCCCCTTGGAGCTCAGCCCCCGCCTTTGTTGAAACAGCTACTGGGCACCCGGCCTCTCCAAACAAACAAGCATCAGCTCCGATTAGCCTCAGCCCAGTGGAAATGAATGCATCTGCAAGCAGGCAGCGCCGGCTACACAGCACGCAGGGCCCCAGCTGCGGCCCCTTTGCCCCTCCCCGTGCCCAGCAGCTGGGATGCCCCAGCAGGGGGACAGGGGCAACACTGTCCCCTGGCAACAAGCTTCACTCCCCCCCCCCTCCCCCCCCCCCCCCCCAAAAAAAAAAAAAAACAAACAAAAAAACAAAAACCCCACTAGGCCAAAGGGACATGCACAAGCGTACGCAGAGCACAGCCAGGCCCAGGGGCAGAGCCGACACACGTGTGCACACAGACAGCTCGCATGGGACTCACCCACAAACACGCTGCGAACACTGTGAACAGCCACGGGATGTTGCTCAAACACAACATGCTCCTAGAGTCCCACCGGTTCCCCCCTGCACTCCTATGTCCTGTAGTCCTGGGAGCCCCAGCCAGGCCCCATGTCAGCCCCATGCATTCCTATGGCATGATGACCTGTAGTTTGGGGCCAGCACCTGTTTAACGTGGGTGGCCAGGAACCAGCCTGGGGCAAGGGAGAGATGGTGCTCCCCTCCCCACCCCTGGCTCCCAAATGGTGGGGCTGGGCTGAGCCACTGTGGCCGGCACTACTGAACCTCATCTGCCCCCCTGCCAGGAGCAATGAGGGAGCTCGGCTAGGAGACCCCACTGCCAAGTGCGGAGGGAGGGGAACAAGGGGGCAGAACCACCACCTGGCCCAGGGATGAGCTCAGTGCAGGGAGTCCTTAGCCTGCCCTATGTGGGGTCAGGAACCAGGAGAAGGAAGGAGCTCACTGGCCCTTAGCACTAATAGCTCACAGTAGACCCCCACAGACTGCCAGGCCTGGCCTCCTGCTTCCCCTGTGCCACACGCCCAGTCTCTGCTCCTGGCCCAGGCAAAGGCCCGCGGCACAGGAGCACGGGGTGTGCAGAGCCCAGTGCACCCAGGCAAGCCTGGGCAAGTGGTGGTGCCAGAGCCCCGTGGACCAGGGGCCAGAGCTGTGGGGAGGGGACAACCTCGGAGCTCCTGCCAGGGAGCATGGGACTGCACTGGACAGCTGTTCCCAGCTGGGAACGGGTGCCCTGGCAGCGCCGCCCCCCAACCTGCCCCACACACCCACGTTACGGGATGCTTCTCGCCCTCCCTGGGATCAGGCCAGGGGGTGCAAGGAGCAGCTTGCAAGGAGGCCGCTGGACTCGGGGGCGGTGCTGGGCCCCACCCCGCTCCCTGGTGTGTGAAGAGCCTGTGTTTACACTAGACACAGATTCCTGGCAGCTGTTGCAGGGGACGGCACATTAATCACCCGCGCGGCCGTGCTGTCAGCGCTGTAGACAAGAGTCCCCCCACCCCAGGGTGCCTCGAGGACAGACCATAGCAAGGCTTCCCTGCCAACCCCAGCCCCAGCCCTGCCAGGTCAGAACTGGGGGGGAGGGGGACAGGGGCTCCCCACTGACATACTCCTACCCCCCCACTGACATCCCCCTCCCCAGCCACACACACCCCTTCCCCGCCTCAGAGCCCTGCCCCGTGAGAAAAGCCAGGCCTTTGAAGAGGGTGGTGGTGGTAGAGCCAGGGTGGACACACGCTGTGCCCAGGCCCAGGCCCTTGTGCCAGCCCCTGCTCCCCAGGGCAGCACCAGATGGCACAGCCTTAAGCATGGCCAGGCCCAAGTGGCACTTGGGGACCCAGACCCAGAGCACCCAGCCCTGCCCTGGGGCGCTGGGTGGAGCCAGCCCATCCAGAGAGGAGCCGGCGGCTGCAGGGCTGGGTCTGGGCTGAGCGGAGCAGGGACCCTCCCTTGCCAGGCCCCAATGCTAGGAGATACCAGCCTGTGCCCCTCGGGCTCCAGAACAGCTTCGGTCCAGAGCTGCCCAGGGGGCTTGGCATACCCAGGACCAGCACCCGTACATAGATTTCTGGCGAGCCCGGGCAAACTTTTAGCATCAGGGCCCCCTTTGCGAGGTAATGACAATAATAATAATTTTTAAATTGCCATTTTTGGGCCCCCTTTCTGTCCGGGCCCCAGGTGGCCACCTGGTTTGCTCATGCCTGTGCCCAGCCCTGCTGCTTGTGGGGCTCGGTGTGGCCACGATCTGCCAGCCGCCCCCCCTGGGGTCGCGCCAGCACCTCGCAGCCAGGGAGCCCGGGGGCAGCGGCTGCCCAGGCCCTGCAAGGCCTCGACGGTGGGAGCGGCGCGGCCCCACACCAGCACAGAGCGAGGGG